AAAAAAAAAAAAAAACATACAATGTACAATGCTAAGGGACCAATCTTGCTATAGTAACCTTATCTCATTTTTATTGATGTATTGATTGATTGATTGATTGATTTTACTGTCGATTATCTCTCTGCTTGAAATTCTGGCCAAGCCTCAACCTCGTTCCCAGGGCTGGAAGACGAGAGACCCTGGGAACGAGGCTGACCACCCCTGCCCCGAGCCTCGCTATAAAGTAGTTCAGGACAGTATAGGAATGCATACTTGACGTGCATACTAAGCAACCACGAAAAAGATGGAGGAACTAAACGGTAAGTGATGGTCTTTTTGTTTCAGTAAGGCGGAAGATAAAAAAAAAGAATAAGAAAGACCGACATGTGAAGAACCAGTGAAGATTTGGATCAATCGAAGCGAAGAGTGTCTTCAGGAATCAGATGAATCATCAATTTTTTGCACAACACCGAGATTTCTCAGTTCATTAGCCATATGAGGACATCGTGGTTTCTCTTCCTGTTGGTAGTGTTTTCATCTTCGTTGGGGACTGTTGATGGGTCCTTATCAAGCGGTAAGTTTCAAATTAAGAGTTTAACTATTTTTATTTAGTTCTCTTGCTTGATGTTTGAACACCTGTATGACAACTCAAGTCATTAGAGCTTATTTAAGACTTATTTATTGCGATCCCATCTTCTATTCACAGCATCCCTTTCCCCCTCCCCTCTCATGATTTTTTTTCTTCTTTTTCTTTTCTCTTAATTTTATTGTGTGGAGTGGGGGATGTGGGGTGGGGGGACAGGCAAGTGGGAGTCTGGGACCTAGAGGGTGGGCAGGAAGAGAAAGGGTCCACAAGAATTAGGAGATCTAAGAGGGCAGGAAGCAGGAGAGAAATGCAAAATGCTAATTTTTGACCTTGTATTTAGCATCTTCTGAGACCTTGTCTGTGCAAATGAGCAAACAAAAATCACACTAGGGCTAAAAACAATGGCTTAATATTGTGGTGAAATTTTATACCCATTTAAAGTTGTGACAATATGTCAAGTGGCATGAGTGCACAATTGTATGTGTTGTGTAAGCTGTCAGAAGACACGAGCAAGTTTGAGTATATGACTTGATATCTCAAATCTTAGACTTGCCACAAGTCGACTGCAAAAATGCGAAAGCAAGCGAGTCTCAAGACGATGAAAGCGAGGGATGAAATCGCGAGTCGACTTGATGCGCCTGCAGAATATTGAATTTAATTTGCATATTGTTGGCGCCAAAAAAAACTGGGTGTGATGTAAATATTTGACAGCCTGTGCCGCTTTTCTGTCTCAGAAGTTTCTGGGTCCAAGACAATGGCTTTGACCCCTTTCTCACGAAGGATCAACACTTGATCTTTCATTAGTGAAACCAAAGGGAAAATAGCGAGGCAAACTGTGTCTACAAGATCTCGCTCGCCATGTTTGTAAAAGTCCAATACAAAGGGAGTGATGGAATGGCAGACTTTTCCCTGAGACTGTCGGTGCAACTGTCAAGACATTGCGGCCGCCAACGTAAGCCTCTACAACTTTCCGTTGATTCTCTCGAATTTCCTTGAAACCAAGCTTAGCTAGACCGGCATTTATCACCTCTCACACATTCATTTTCCTCAGACTCCTACACCTCGAGAGCAATTGACATGTTGCACAGGATCAAGTTACTCGAAAAATGACATCAGAATATAGACCATTATCTGATTGGATATAGCCTTTGACACCCCCAACACACCACCGACCAGAAAACTGGTTGGTTAAAAATGGCGCGCTGTGAGCGAGAAAAGTCCCTTTACCACCGGACCACCTAATTATCTAATCTAGCAGAAATGGGCTTTGAGAAAGTCTGCTCAAATCTGTATCATCAAAGTCCATTTAAGAGCAAAAGGAATACCTACATGTAAGAATTGCCCAGCTAAATGACTATTGTAAAATGTGTTTTGAGTCTCTTAACTTACAGGGGCAGGAGAAGGATGGAAAAGGGCAGGAGGTGGGAGAGCACCTGGATAGGGAAAGTGGGAGGTTCTGACCCCATGACTCCCCTACTTTACATGTATTTGGGAGCAACAAAAGTTTTAACATGCAACAAACAAAAACACCAGATTTAAATCTTTTATATACCTTTATTTTGTCACTCAGTCAGACTTCACAGTAATGATAGGTACTTCAATTTCTCCTGGGTTGTCCGTTGTTATTTTCCTCTGACAACCAGGCCTTTAATTTTACTGGCAAATGGTTGTCCGGACTATTTTTCAGTCATCTTGGATGACCGAACAACTGCAAATTTTGAGTACTGTTAACATTTGAGAACTTATTTTATAATGGACACTTGCCATATACATCTGGACACTGGTCGAGTCATCAATCTTCCAGTCCGGGGAAAATGTTCGTAAAGGGACGTGTATACTCAAGTAGTTTAAGGCCTAGGACAGGAATGTAATTAAGTAGGATTGTGGTTGGGCAGCTATATCTCTTGTTATATTTGTTTTACCAAGCTGAACTTTTCCCTGATTATAAAACTCGACGTCCTGCCTTGCCTTAACATATTATTTTGACCACGTGACATGCATTTTGTTAAAATTTTGTAAATCAGCGAATTGGTGGTGAATTTCCATTCTATTGATCAATTAACGAGCATTTGTGATACAAATTTAAATTATCTACCTTGCTACGTTTGGAATGATCTCCCTTGATTTTGTTTATAGAAGATATAAATGATTAAACATTGAATTTTGTTGAATTTTGTATGTAAAAAAAAGGACCTTTCACCCTATAAAATTTTTCTGTGAAAAGAGGGATGGTCATTCCAAACGTGAGAAGATGGAAATAATTGAACTGCATCTAAAACACGTTTTTGCAGGATGTTATTACTAAAAACCACCACCAATTCCATAAATAATGGCTATTTTCCCCTAAACATCACGTGACCTGTCAGAAGTACTAATTCTACTTTAAAATGTTCAGGACGTCAAAACCTAACTGTGTGCTAAATTTGGTTTCATTACCATTTATACCTTCAGAAATATAACTAATACATTATTTTCACCAGTGAAAGCCTTTGACCCAGGCCTTAAACTACTTGAGGATATAGCATATTTAAAAATACAATAAATATTTTTGAAAATTTAATATTGAGAAATTAAATACTTTTTAATACAAAAAATATTCTCGTTACCTTTAATTTCAGTTTTGGATCTTAAACTTCAGCCAGAAAGACTAAACAATGTTTACTATGCACTGAGAGGCTCTACATTTGTTTTAAACTGTACCATTGTACTGGGTAATGTGCAGGCCTTAAATTTAACATGGCAACACAATGGGAAATGGTTAGATCATGAAGTAGAACAAGTTGACGGTGCAACGGTGCAGTTGAAACTGTCTAACACAAGCAGAATTAACAATGGATTGTATTGGTGTGGTCCAAAACTTGGTAATACATCGCGAGGAGTTTACATATCTCTTACAGTGGCAGGTAATTGAATTAACATTTTATTTAGTAAGTATGAATAAATTAACTTTGCATGGACCCAAGGCTGTTGTCTAAGAAAAATTACAAGGAGCCTAAAGGTTCTTAACCATGAAATCCTGGGTGTAAAGTAATATGAAAAAAGTAAGTTTTTACAGTCTGCACTTAAAGGCAAAAATTAGTAGCCTGTGGCATGCAGGCTTTTCTAGAGCACAGCCTGGGGACCCTAATGTTGTAAAAGCTTGATAATAAACTGACCTCTCTTTATAGTCCAGTCAAACATGTCTGTCAGAGACCAGGCATTGTAATAAGTTAAAGGTTGCAGTATTAAATTGTATCAATTGGATATACAGGTGTAGTAAGATCACAGAAACAAGACACTTTGGCATCCCATTCATGAAGCTTTAAAATTTTATCCTTAGCAAGGGGAGAGTCTGTCTAAATTTGGCCTGAAGAACACCCCAATTTGCCCAAAATCAGGGTGCAAAGAAAACCAGATTTCAAGCTTTCCATTTAGGCAAATTGTAACTATCATATGTACAATCATTTTCACTAGCCCCCCAAACCCCACCTCCCCCCAAAACTATTACCAGTTTAAACTTTTTTTTTTAATAGTGTCAGTGAGTGTTAATGTTGTTAATTTAAAAACTGTTTTACTTCTGTGGAATTGATAGATGTAAGAGCATTAAATTTAATTGGAAACAAATTGAAACAGTAAATTGGTTATTCTGATCTATGTTTAATCATCAGTGAAAACTGTTTTATGGTCAGGAAAATTCAGGGTTTTTTTTCTGGCAGAAGCTCTTCCTGGTGATGAAATTGCTGCGTCTCTGACTCTTGCAGGACTTTAATTGAATTTGTTTTCAACAATGCGAGTCTGTGTGATATCATTTGTTAGTAACAAAATGTTATATTGATTTCATTTTATTAACTAATAACATGCCATCTGACATGGTACGGACAAAAATAACAAATTATGTGGAAATTTTCAGCAGAAATATGTGTTGATTATGTGGAAAACACACTGATTTGTGCTGAAATTTCTATAGTCAACGAAATTGATGATAAAGTCTGAGCAACAGTGAAACAAAAAGTACTTCAAAGTCTTACCCACAATTTTAGCTAGAGCTTTACTCGCTGTAATAGAATGCACATCGTGTTTCCAACTTTGACATATGCTCATCTTCTAATGGTATTTGTTGACAGATATTTCTTCACTTTTGCAATTTTTGCCATAGCATTTTTGCTTATTTTGCATGGCCACTTTACATGCAGAATTCATTGTTACATTTGTAGAACATCGGTAGCTTAGTAGCCAGGCATTTTCAATGGAACTGGTTTCCAGGCTCTTTGCCTGACCGGGATGGGTGGAGAGCGTTTTTGAATGGCCTTAGGTGTCCTGCGGGGCACGATGAGAAATGAGATTACCTAAATTAGGTTAGAATACCTGGAGTTAAAAATTGGTCCCAAGATAAATGGCCTGTTTTTGTTGCTGTTTTGGGAGAAAAACTACTTTTAAATGATCAATCTTTTCAGAGTTTTTGCTTGTAGGGTTGTAAGGCAGCTGCTTTATTGCTAATATGGAGCATTTTTTTTCATCTGTTTTATGTGGAAAAAAGCTCCAATTGCATGTGGAAGATGTGGATGTTAGCAAATTATGTGGATCCACACCACTGCATCCTGTCAGATGCCCTGTAATAATATTTAGTTTTCCTCTTAAAAATAAGCATCATACACATGCTTGCACAGTGGTTACATGTAGATTTAATTTGCTTTCAATTTGTTGTTTGTTTTGTCGCGCAGTGGCCTCATGGTTAGTGTGCTTGTCTGTGGATTTAATGGTCCATGTTCAAGCCCTGGCCAGGGATAATGTGGTGTGTTCTATACAAAACACTAAACTCTCACAGTCTCTCCCTCCACCCAGGTGTATAAATTGGTACCAGTGAACGTAATGCTAGGAGTTACCCTGTGATAGACTAGAATCCCATCCAGGGGGAGTAGAAATACTCCTAGTCGCTTCATGCTATGGAAACTGGGATAAGCTCGGGCCTGATGGGCCACTTGGCTTGTATGCAGACTTTATGTAACAATTTGTTAATCAGCAGATGGCAGGGGCTTGCCTTTTTTATGATCCTGACTTGAAGATAATAATTTATAACTTATAATTACAGTGTATATTATTAAATACATACATGTATTATATAAAATTTGGATGCTCAAAACGTTCATTTTCACTTTCATTAAAATAATACACAAATGTAATTTAACTGTGCATTTTAACATGTTAATTACGGATAAGCAAATCAAACAGTAGAATCCAGGCAAGTAATTCATTCCAACTTTCTTTCCTTTAACCCATTAATACAAGATAAGTTCTATTTAACTTATTCACCGTATAATTTTTCATTTTACAGTCATGCAATAGTTCTTGTTTTAAAGGATTTTTTCTTGCTCCCCAGATCCCCCGAGTCGTCCACGTAATTTGAGATATAGTGTGGTTGGTACCTTTGACCCTGACAGAGAGTATCGTGTATTTTGGTCGGCATCAAGTTTTACCGGAGGTCTGCCAGTCAATTACTCAATTAAGTTGTGTCTGAATGACTCCACTGAAAATAAAAGCAGCTGCAAATGGAAATTCACTGACCCAGATTGCAGACCTGCAAATGTTCTAAGGACAGATAAAGATTTCCGCTGTGTGTTACAAAAGCCTGGAGATTTTGTTTCTCCATGTCGGAAAGCCTGTAACTATACAATATCTGTAGTTGCTGAAAATGCTGTTGGAAGTGCGACAAGCTGGCAATATCTGCCCTTTGTTAATAGTTTCTCAGGTAAAAATTTGTGTTTTGTGTGTGTGCAACATGACGGCAGATAATTCATGGTAGGCCACATATAATCACCTTCCCCTTTACTCCTTAAATGCTAACCGCAGCAAACAGCAGTAATTAAATGTTAACCGCAAGCAAACAGTAGTAAATAAATGCCAACTCCAATTAAACACAATATTTAAATGCTAACCGCAAGCAAACGGCAGTAAATAGAATTAAACTGCAGGGAGACTATATGGGTGGCCTACCATGAATTATATCCCAACATGACTGCCATTCTCTGGCCAGGTAATACAGGTTGACCGAGGCATGTAGCCTTCGTTTGCTCAAGTTGAACATGGGCTCAAGTTTAGAGCTCATCGAATTCATGTTTTGTTTTTGAAGTTGACTGCTGCCCGGGTACTTGTTTTCAGTTGGATTGTAGGCTCAAACCAGGCTAACTTATTATTATCGGGATCAGCTCCATTTTTAGGCTGGACTAAATTTGCAAGTGATAGATCCTTATGACAGTCAATACAAAGTATATTTCCTTGGTTTATTGCTTTTAAGTTCATTGAAAATTAACCCACATTTGTGTGCTAGCATGCAGCAGCATGGGCCTTTGTATTGTCCTTCCCTCAAAGAAGCCTTAAACTACGGTGTAGGTGTTCAAAGATTAGCCCCTTTTCTGCTTAAAAAAAAACAAACAAATAAACAAACAATTACAACAACAACAAACTAAAGCCAACAAAAAAAACTAAGAAACAAAATGCACAAATAAAAGAATTATGATTGAATGTAGCTGCTTTGCCACTTATAAGGTGAATTTGAATTTGCATCCAAAGTGCATTACAATTTCAAATACAATAGTATTATTATATTAATACTGTATTGAATAAATGCACATGACTTGTATCTGTGAAGTTCTTCTTTGTTAAACATGAGAGATACTAACAGTAAAAACCATTTTGTTCAGTTTGGGACGTGCTCTCTCTGGTGTGAGTAATTTCGATCCTCTGATTCAAAGATTTTCTTAGTGCAATAAAGGAATGAAGATGTTTGTAATAACTCAAGTCCTAAGGACAGAACCATCAATATCAGAATAGCCCTCGACTTGCTATGCTGAATTTTAAAGGCGAGGAGACATAAAATGAAGTGTGGATTTTGTCAACCCGTGATAGAATTTGGTTCATTATTGATAGTGCTTTACCTCTGAAGTACTACAGTTTATGTACATGTCCATGTATATAACACACTCATATTTGGTGGAACTCGTTACTTTATCATTCTTAAGAAGCATTCAAATCAGCTCAAGTGTTACACCTAGATAATCTCAATGATTGTTTGTAATTGAATGATAGTTGCAAAATTTATGCTGTCACACAACATACAAACTTCTCATAATCTTTTTGATCTGATTTTATATCACGAGTTGGCTGGAAGGAAATTTTGATTTGCTATCAAAACGAGGAGTTCAGTAATTATTTATATCCAAGGTAGCCACATGCAGTACTCGACTGCCAATTTCACATGGACAAAACTGGCTGTTAGTTGGTCAAAGGTCCAAGCTAGAATAACATCGAAACAAATGTATATTTTATTTTATAAGGCATTTTTAGTCGGGCGAAAGCCAACTTTAGGTTTACCCTCTTATTTCCTGTCAACGCTCAGTCACGTGCAATGGGCAATACCGCAGACACGTAATAAAGGCTCAACCTTCTTTCCACTATGTCGATATCAAAAGGAAAAGATATGTCGGATATCAGTGAGTTATCAATGAACAGAAAATGTGGACAGAGCATTACTACAGATGACAGAAGAACATTTACTGAAGTTTTAGGTGCTGATAAAGACAAAGTGCCTCAAGATCAAACTCTAGGAAACAACAACAAAGATGCCATGTTGGACTGCAAAAGTGGCTTTCATCATAATGAAGATAAATGTACTTAATTGTCATTTTTATGTGACCTCTATCATGATTATTACATTTGCTATGTTTTTGCTCAACAGAGTTCATTATCAGCTGTTATTTTTCTAATAGTGCCATTAGTTTTGTCACTTTTGTGCATATATTACATTCGCGTGTTGTGTGCAGGAATGTTTGTTTGGTATCAGACAACGTGGTGTCAGGTGAATGTTATGTATTGGACAAAGCAGCACTATGTATACAACAAAAGAGTGACGAATCAGCGTTGTGTCACTTGTGTGTGCAACAAAATGATGTTGAAAAGGAAATAAACTATGTAGAAGAATTCAGGCTTCATTATGCGATTTGTTAATTGTAATAGTTAACAATCGTCAAGGTGATATTATGTACTTTGGTGAAAATTCTGGAAAACAATGTGTTGCTATGAGTTTGAGTACTTTGAATTATAATAAGTTAAATGGAATACATAGCTGTAATGACCTGGTACAAATAATGGAGATGGATAATAAAAAAATAATAATCTTTACCCTTGGCAGTGTTTATAGCACAAAGGTTAACTAGTGGGGCGGAGCAAACAGCTGATAAATATTGTTTTGGACAAGTGTATTTAAAGCAAATAGAATTACTTCAATGGTTGCTATGTCTGAGAAAAATTACCAGCTTAATTATAGTGAAAGCTACCCTCTGGTAATCTAAATCATTGTGATTCAATAACTGAGGGATATCAGTGCTGACAGTATGTCTATAGACAGGGCTTTTGAATCACTCTTGTCACAAAATTATTCTTCATTTATTCTAGCAGTAGAGGTTATTGGTGTCAGTATCCGTCATACTGATAATGGGAGTTATAAGATATTTGATTCTCATGCAAGAGACAATTATGGTAGTCTAAGCCATCCCTTAGGTACATGTGTACTACAGTATTAGAAGTACCATCCAATCAGAGCTTAGTACAGTATTTCCAGACTATACACTCACTTGGTGACGAACTCAGAGGAGAGCAGATTAGTACGTATGAAATAACCCCAGTAAACAGTGTGAGAGAAGAACACAACTGCTCTTGTATACAATGCTGTTCTGTAGGGCTTTATATAATGTGTTACTCAGTGGCAACGCCTTAAGTATAATTTTAAATTACCAAATGTGACAGTGAACTTAAGTGACGTCACAATTCAAATCAACTTCAGTATGATTACCGTAGCTTTCGCTTTCATCTATTGGTCGGTTTCATGATTTCTTTGAGACATACATCTATTAGCATGTACATGTACATCTCACACATGCTATTTCTAGGACCGCTGTGATTAACACGTGTAGCAGCACATTTTTAGCTACAGCCCGACTTGCGATCTTAGATCGTCTTGTTAGGTTTTAATTGTCTATATTGCACTGTAGCTTTGTGGAAAACATATACAGAGGTTTCTCATACAATAAAAATCCAGAATATAGACCATCAAAATTGGAGTGATTTTTTGTATAATTATAAAGAACCTATTTTCTTTGCCAGGCTGAACAGGTTCTTCTTTTTTGGGGTATTTAAATACCAAATTCCAGCCTGTAGGTTCTTAAATCACTAGGTTCATACAGTATATATGTGGGTTTTTACTGTATTGTAAAATAACTCACAATAATTTATGGTTCACTTTCAGTGTTATATCACACTCATTCCTTTTACTGCCCAGGTGTAATTTAACTTTGTGATCGAACTGGCACTGTCTTTTTAACTTGACTTGATTTCTCCCAAGCACTTATTAAAGATGATTTCCTGTCTGTACTGCACAGTCTCCGCACCCTAATGTTTACAAACATAAAAAAGCCTCACTCGATAGAATGCGATCTTGATGCTATTCGTTATGAACCACATACCTTATGTTTGAGGCCTTTCAAATTCTTTTTCCAAGTGCTTCATTGACTTTTACAGCTGAAAACTTGTTTCGTCATGTGATGTGAGAAAAAACAAAACATAAAGCTTCGCATCGTTTCGCATCCATAATGGCGGTTGACATGAAACTTTGAATTTACTTCATGTATAAATAGTTTTGAAATGTTCACATTTTGTGACCTCATGCATGAAACAAAACAAAAAAACGTAACCAAACTCTCGAGAGTGTGCAGTACGGACTGGAAATCATCTTTAAGCCATGAAAATTGTGTTCATGTTGATGAGTTCGTAGTACAAATAATAAATCTCTGTAAAACTGTTGCAACTGTAGTGCTTTGCACTTGTCACTTACCTTACTCCCTATTAGTCTTGTTACAATTGTCTATAGTTATTAGTACTACATGTACATTTATGTTCTAAATATCTACATAGTAATCTGTGCGGTTCAGCTGCTGGCTATTTTTGATTGTCATTCAATCATAAAACTAACCTTTATTTTGTTTTTGACTTTTTAACTTACAGCTACCCCTTGGCCTCCATCAAATTTCACAGTTGTTACTACTGATAAGCAGAAGGAGTTACGGGTTAGCTGGAGACCAAAGCTTGCATGGAGGTTCACAGAGACAGAATATACCATTCTGTATCATGCAAAAAATGACATGGAAAATGAGGTTTGTTGTTACTGCATTCAGTACATTTACATGTAACTCCTTTGCACATGGCCTAGCTTATTTTGTTTTGTTTTGTCTTTTGTTTCGTTTTTAAGAGCTAGCCTGCAGTAAGTTGCCAAAAACTCTGAAATCTCGTTCCTTGACTCACAACAACAACAACAGCAGCTTTATTTATCCCTTATTTTTTATAAATTAAATTATGACTCTTTCCTTACTGTGCAAGCTTGATGAAACAAGCAACTCTCAAGAGTTCTGTTTTGCACAGTCTACTGTAGATTTTGATGGTTTTGAAAACAATGGAAATGAGCAGAAGTAAAGAACCAATGTCTCAACAACAACATCAACAACTTTATTTGTACTCAATGTAGAAATTACAAATTAGATGAACAAAAATAAGTTAAAATAAAAAGAGTTCAAATACCGTAAGTTAAAATAAAAATAAAAACCTCTCGATTGAGCCATGTATTTGCCAGCTAGGCGTGCGCAATTTAACCAGAAGTCAGATATTTGCAGACTCTTTCCAGGGTCACTCATTACCTCACCTCTGGTCAAGGAGAGTTCATTAAGACTCTGGGTGTTGCCAAAAACTACTTTAGGTTAACTACCAACAAATATACACTTAAAAACCTACTTGATTTGAATTGGCTAAGAGCAGTGTACTCCCATCTAATGTAGCTACATGTAACTTGTTTCTTACAGCTGTAGATACATCCCCGCTCTTGTAAATCCCAAAGTCGACTTTCGTCATACATTTGTGTTTGAGGAGCAGTCACTGAAGCACTAAGTCTTGTTATGTCTCAATTTGCATGTTAGTGCATGATTTGATAAGCAGCCAACACAGATAGCAATAGATGTTTCCACACGACTGTTCATTTTGAATATCGACTGTAATCTGACAGAAGGGATCAA